GGGGGGGAGGGGTATAGGGGTGACGGAATTCGAGTTTTTCACCGAAGAGGATCTTTTTGGTGTCACTCTCAAACCTAAACTCTCTTTCGAAAATGTTTTCCCAAGTGATCTTAACCATTATCATTATTATTCATTTATATAATACTTCTATAGTAATTGCGCAATATTATGACTCTTGATAAAAAAATGTTAAAGTTGTGGTACTGTGTAAAGCATAAAGAGTAAAAAGTTCGCAAATTTTCGTCTGGAGGAAACATTCAACCCCCTTCAAGTGAGATTGAGATGAAGAAAATGTGGGTCAGTGAAGTTCTTAGAATTTACCCTTTTCATCAATACCCGTAGCGCTTGTCTGGTGAAAACTTTCATTTGACTTTGGAGCTCTATCCTTTTTTCATACAATTCTTATGTGCACCCACAACTAGCACGAGGAGGTCTTCCACCTGAGATAGATCAACTCGGGTCAATGACACCGAGAATCTGTAGATAAATTCTCTTTTACGTAAATCTTTCATCCAATAAGGCGTGGAATAGAATTCCTCGTAGCATCTACCATCCTACTTTGTTGAATGAAATTTTTGTAGCTCTTATGCTAATACTTCATTATATCTGGCGGTTGGTTTAATCCTCGTCAGTGTATTTGGATGGCAAGGTCAGAACTAATACTCAATTTCCTCGAACCATGCAATTCTAACGTCTTTCTTAGTGTAGTATTCTGAACCGCTCGTAATCAATTGTCGGTCCATCTTAGTAGAGGCAGCTGCAGGGAAACCGTGCAGTCGAATATTTATTTATTTATATCAACTGACAGGCTTTATGATAGTTATCATTAGCACTTTAGTTGACTTCAGGCTTCACAGAGGGAGAGGAACATCAAATCGAAAAAAATCGCGAGGGGAGGGGGGGGGAACAGAAGAGTGTTTTAAAGATGTAAGAGACAAACACAAAGGTAGATGAAAGGTGAAGTGAATACTGTGAAAGTGGTCGAATATGACATACAGTGCGGTGATGGTAGTTTGAACTCAGAAGTCAACTGCCGGTTTGTAGACTTTTGTAATTCGGAGTCCCATTGGTGTTCAGAGGGCTCAAAGGAAGTGTCCGTTTGTATGGGAGTACTTGCCTTAGCTCTATCAATAGGAGTAACTATTTTGTACCATGACCCCACTGTATGTCATATCCGACCGCTTCAGCAGTACTCGTCTTACCTTTTCTCTGCCTTTGTGTCTCTTTCTATTTCTTTTACATCTGTGAATCACTCTTCTGTTCTCCCTCCCTTCTTTACATCTGTGAATCACTCTTCTGTTCTCCCTCTCGAATTTTTCTCACTTTGATGTTCCTCCCTTCTGTGAAGCCCAAAGTCAGTTAAAGGGCTAATTATAACTATCAAACCCCTGCCACTGGAGTTGGAGGTTTTGCGAATTATTCTTGATTGTCTTTGAAGAGAACGTTCTGATCAAATAATTAATTGAATTTAAAGGAAAAAATGAAACTCACATTAGTACTCTCAGGAAGATTATTGAATCTCCGATCATCTTTTTCCATCTTAGAATGTGCTACTGCAGATACTTTTGATAGGTTTTCAGAATGATTGTCATTATTTCCTTCGCTCTCGGAGCCATTAAAAGTTAGGAAATAAGCGAAATTGCATTTTTCTCTTAATTCTCGTGAACCGGTAATAGGTTTCGGTAACTCCGAGGTTAGCATCACCTTAGCGAAAAGAGTTCGTACTGTCTTATCTCCTTTAATTTATTGAGAGTTGTTAGTTGGGGGATAGAATCTATTTTTTATGAATTATGTTTTTAATGTAAGATGTGGATTGCAATAGGGTTTTCTCATAGTGGGAAAATTTCTTCAATACATCAACTTAAGGACTTAATACTAGTTCTATTTTTGCAGCTTGAAACGATGGCCGATTTCTTTATCAGTCAGTTAATTCGCTCAAGACACCCCGGGGCTTTTGAGCTGACAGCAACCGGTTTCCAATCCTTTTGTGAAATACTTCTAAAGTGAGTATCGTTTTATTTACATTAAATTGATTATTTGATGTTAAGGTAAGTAGTGAAGATGATGAATGCTACAAATAGATGCATATTGAGAAGAAAGTCGATAAATAGGCAGTTATAGTTTACATCAATCGGTAAAAATATTTTCTTCACCTCTCTGCAAGGGCGAAGGATTTTGAGGATGTTAGTCAATGGCCGGAGCAGTGGTTGAGTGTAGTACTAGCAGACCTGACCGATTCCACGATTCTGGAGGTAACTACGAGCACTGGATGGCTTCCTTGGAAGTATCTTCAGCATGCTACTCTCTGTGCAACTAGAAGATCTGCTGGCCTGCCATTCTTTGTTCAGGTGAGAAAGATACACGAATAGCAATTTGTTTTATTTATTCTATATATGCATATATTTGGCGTCAGCTTCATCTTACGTTATGGATCCTGAGCTTAGAAGCTTACATTTGATGGCATCCTTATTGGTCAAAGTCTTCTAATTATTAACTTCCTTCCATGATGATTTGGAGCATGATTAAGACAAATTTTACATCTGTATTGATTAGATGATCGGAAGTGGGTCTCATTTTGTCCCTCATTCAATCTATTCCGATTATTTAGGCTCTCCTTGTGGTACTCCATAAAACCGATCGAATGGGAGATCTCCTTAATAGAGTGGTAAATGCTCTTCTTGTGGAAGTAAACAGGGGTGCAGAGGCTACCACAGTTCCTTCAGCCTGCAAGGAGCAGGCTGATCTCACAGCCGCTGAGGTATGTTTGTGTCCCACTACTTTGTACTGTTTCAATCTCATTATCTAATCGGTATTCTATTCTAAATTCACCCAGCGTCGTCTACATTCTATGAATGTGCTTAAAACATTGGTTCGTGATGCAACCATAGGACCTCTGATGACTATTCACCTTGAATCCATTCTAATCTGCGCTTTCCAAGGCCTTGATTCCAACTATTGGATGGTTAGTGCTTATTTCGATATTATGCGGTGATAACTGCGATTTAAAATCTATTAATTCTTTCTAATTGGCCAAATTGTATCGTTCAGATACGTAATGCTGGACTTATGCTATTCAGCGCCATGATGGAGCGCATCTTCGGAGTTAACCGAACTCGCGATTGTGAAAGTAAAAAGAATAGGTTTGTTCATCGTAATTTGAATACCTTATGGGTTTAAAATCTATCAGCTGGTAAAACCATCTTTACTTTCATTCAGGATGGCGGCATCAGTCTTTTTCACCAAGTTTCCTGGTCTCCGAGGCTTTCTGCTAAAAGCCCTTGAAGAATCAATAAATGAACTCAAGTAAGCTAATTGCGAGGGTGTTTTGAAAATATTTTTGAAAAATAGCGGTTTCTTCTGAACGGGAAAAGCCTCCTTAAGATAAACCTGCATTAATGACATTCCAATTCTAACCTCTATTAAGCCCCGGGCACGCGCTGATAGATGCTTCAATTTGTTAGGCATCTTTGTCACTATCAAGTGAAAATTTCATATACGAATTACTTAGATCCCTGAAACAGAAGACGAAACCGTGAAATAGGAGCCATCAGTTTTGTATTGCACGATCAACAGCGACTTGAATGTGACTGGCCTCTGTCTTTAATGCGTCATATTTGGCTATCTAATTAGCTGTAATTAGCCTAAGATAAAACTGCACGGTCTTTAACAGGCGTGTTATCCGGTGCCTTTTCGGATTCTGTCGGTAGTCCCCAATATTTTACGCCAACTATGGTAAATTAAGAAAAGCCAAACTATTAGAGTCTTTACCTTGGACGAATTTGTTCCTCAATTGGGGGTTGGAGGGAGGGGGGGGGGGTTCATTGAATAAATGTAATTGTGCAATTTATTAAAAAATATACGCGGAAGCGTTTCATTTCCCCCTAACCCCCC